AATATATATATATATATCGTAGCACACAAGGACCAAATTTTAATGCTCATCAGAGTCAGATCATTGACAAATAAAACACAGCGGAAAGTACCTTGGTTGAGGTTGTATCATGGTTTAGTTTGACGGGTGATTGATCAATAGACGCATCTTCTTCCGGTTTAATGGGTTGATCCGTTTCTGAATGGATTGAGCGAGTCAAAACAGCGAGTAAATCGGTTTCACGGGATGTAACCAAAGGTATAGGGCTAACGGAAGCCATCTTCTTTGCTACGGCAACTAAAGGTGATCTGGGTGCACCTTCGTTAATGATACTTTCACTTTTTAATACAAGACGGTCTCTTGTTGATTTTTCGACATCCTGCGGTGCAACGACAGTTGTTGGAATACTACAAGACTGTGCAGAATATTTCGTCGTGGTTGTAACACACTTAGATGTAGTAGTTTCATTGAAATCACATTCTCCGGGTTTCGCGGATGGTATTCCATTGGCGAAGTTGGGACTGAGACAGGTACGGCTGATTCGAGGTTCACTAAACCAAGCCAAACGAGGACTCAGACATGGTGTTCCTGTGGTGCATGGGGGTGAAACAAAAATAAAGGGTAGTAAGAAGCAAAAATATTTGATAGTTTTATTTCAATATGTGAGTCAACATCTATGAAAAAATTATTTACGTTATCATTATGTTTTTTACTAAAACTTCATAAGAAGTAGTATATGAGTGACTGGACAATATTTCCCTGGAAGCACACGACCGGTTTCGCGATTGCTGCCGCTCGTCAGGCATGCGTATCCGGTAATCTATTGTCACTTTATTCATATACTTGTACCCAGGAAGTGTATTTTCGTCACAATAACCTTGATGACAACACCGGGTGACTTTTGGATAGACGGCTATTTCAGAGTCAGTTCATTCAATGTTTTGTAGGTGGGTTAGATGCTGTTAACCGTAACGAACGTGACTTGACAGTCCTTATGGAATATTTCGCAATCGGTAGTATGTGAAAGATTGGACAAAATTACATATATATATTGATGACATGTTACCTTCAAACGGAATAAGGAATTCACGTTTGTGTACTCTGAATCCATGGACACCAGACTAATCGATTTACAAGAAAACAGACCTTGTCAACAACAACCTTTTGACATTTCTTAATTCGATTGCACAAGCCTAACATAAGATTGTATAAAGTAAATATAAGCTCTTCTTCTTCAGCTAGCGCACAAACCCGAGCGAGTAATTCACCATTAGTCAAAATAATACGAATATCTTCTACTTATTAATAATTGAACATTCATATGGTGTATTTCCGTCAACGTTAATGAAACCAATGAACAGCTTTCAGGAGTTTCTGTCCATTTCGATGAAGGAGTAAAGAGAAGATTGCAATGCTCAAATCAGTTTTAAGGCGAAGAGTAGAAAATTCAGGCAGTCTGAAGCTGCAAAGATACTGAGATGCACGGGCGACACTGTATATGACACAGCCATATCATTTAGTGTCACTAAAGATTAATTACCATGATCCCGGGGTCCTATTTCCACGAAGCTTGATGCGGCCTGTGTGAGAAAGTTTCCTGGTTAAGGTTTTCATACCCTCATGTTAGGTCTATTTAGTGACATGTGTAACACGTGCCCAAACCAACGTGGTCTATGGAGGTCGACCACTTGCTCCAGTGGGCGAATGTGGTTACCTGAAAGTCTGCGCTTGATCTTTGCATTGCTTGTCCAGTTCATCCACCAGACTTGTGCAATATGGCGTAGTTGGCAGTATGCAAATAATGACAGCCAGTTTTTATCTTGTTTCCGTGATGACCGAGTCTCTACGCCGTATAGCAGAACTAGCAGAACTGCTGTAGAATACACTGGACGCTTCACAGACAGGTGGATGTCGCGATGGTGTCACAAATGTCGCACGTTGAGAAATGCCAATCCCGTTTTCTGTATGCATGCCGATACTCCATCCGTTATGCGTCCGCCAGGTGGGATGTAGCTGCTCAGATAGTAAAATGCGTTTATTAAGTGTATGACCTCTCCAGTGAGAATGAGGTTGGGAGCTGAACCAACTCAGTGCTGTAGCAACATTTCACACAATGAAGTTGCAAAACGCACATCGAACATGGTTACGCTGGCACTCAAACTATCCAGAAAAGCTTGTAACTTCACTTAGCAGTGTAATGTAGTGTGCGACAATTACTGACAGTCACAGATTTGCACGATGTACGGTATTTGGTATTAGGAATACACAAGGCAGTAGGGGCATAGATCGAACGCGGGAGCATGACCGAAGCACCCATATTAGAGCTTCTAGAGACCTGTCATGCAAGGCCTTCGGATTCCGGCTCTGAGTGTTGTTCGCTGCTGCATTGATCGACGGTTTGCCACTCCGCACTGGCCAAAGTGTCTTCATGAGACAGAAGGAACGTGGACGGGAGAGTACTTTATCGGTCAGGGAATGCGGAGGACGGTAGTTGCCCGCTAACGTGCGAAGACTTGTCACATTGTCGGGAGAAAACCCTTGGTACCCCGTTCTCACATCCGCCTAGTGGGGCTTTTCGACCAGTAAGGTGCTCCTCCTTGTGTTTATTTGCTGGGGGGACTTCTCCAGCGACGACAGAGGGGTGAATGAGCTTTTTCCGACCTCTAACCACTGCCCTTTCGGGCATGATTGAACCTGCGGCTGTGAAAATCCATTTGGGTGGAGCTTGTTTTAGTGCGGGAGAGAAACTGATAGATTAAATGGGTTGATCCATTCCCGGTGTTCGTCTGTGAATGTACCCGAAATCAAAACCGTTTCAAACGGTTGTGCAAGGTTGAGACAAGGACTGACGGAATTATTTTTGAGAGCAAATGGAGGGATTGAGCAAGCAAATGATCACTGTCTCAGCTGCTGTTGCAAAGCGACACATATGGACAACTTAAGACGGGTTTGACAGTACTCTGTAGATCACTTTGAATGCATCCCCGTTTGCCTGCATGGGTCTACTAGTCAAAAATAATACCTACCAAATAGTGGTGGTTTGTTTCTTTGGTTAAGTTTCAAATCATCAGCCCATTTTAATGAGGGAATCGTGTCACCTGCACAAGATCACACTAATCAATTTGGTGCTTCGTGGTTTGGCATTTCACTTTCCAGGGTTAGGAATACTGATGCTACAATTCGGTTCACTTTGTACAACCATTAACCGTGTACTTTCGTGCGGTTGTTTTGGTTGCTATCTTTCGACTGCCAAATTCAGATGAAGAGGTAGAATAAAAAGATTGGATCGATGTTTATCACGAAGGCATTAGATCCTCGTGACTATGGAGCTAATAACCGTCTATTATATTATATACAAAGAACTAATTTGTTAGAATAGCATTTGTCATGTGACCTAACAGTTGGTTTATTCACTAAAACAACGCTCTTTCTTGCGCGTAAGCAAAGCTCTTTTTATTTTCCCGCTAAGCCAGAATTCAGGGTGTGTTCCAATTAGGCATTACAACTGGTGCAGCGGTTGGTCGACGGATTCATGTTGTTCGGTTAATGAGTTGTGAAGATATTCATCCGGAGGACCAGCGTACAAACCATGCGGTGATGACAAGGCGTTTCTCAGCGATCTGCGATAGGTTCAGCAGCTCTTCCGGAGTCGGATTACAAAACGGTCCAGCTAGGTTGAGGATGTACGTACGAATTTCCAGCGATAGGAAAATTATCAAGCAAACCGAAGTACAACCTAAAACGGGTCGATATCAGAGTTAAATTTAAAAATACGCAGGTTTGTTGACATTTGCTACGGAACCTTACCATTGATGCTAAGAATTGGTGCCAAATAAACAACAATAAGGTTTTCATATAAAGATTTGTGTGCGAAGGTAAGAAACTATAAGCTGATTGCGTAGATGCCTCAGCTTACGCATCTGAAAGCCGTAAACGACATAGTTTACATTCTTTTCGATGCATCCAATCCACAGAAGATTCCTTTCAAGAGTTACACCTCGGTATTCTAAAGGTGACATTCAAAATTGAGTAATGCGGTGTATGATAAGTTATACATGTTTATTTTTTTCCTATATAAAGTGATAAACATTTGCACGATTGTAGGCAAATAAAAACGATCTAATTGGATACTTTTATGGAGTAATTTTTGTTATCAAATACGCACCATGAAAGCATACAAATTCGATGAAATCATGCACAGATACCGGCTGCCCGTTTGGATCTTGGCACAGCTCGGCTGGGATAATCCCAGATGATGGCCGTCTAGTGGATGTCGATTCGAATGGCGAACAGTCTTTGTTGTTGCAAGGCAAACGTCGATCTGGACGTGGGGCGGACTCTTTTCTCGGTGTGGATTCGACAGCGGCTACACGAATGGAACAGGGAATATTTGGGAGAAGAATTCCGTCAAATTGAAAAAGGTAAGCAGACACAGACAAACAGAGCGGACAGAAAGCAATTAAAATTCGGATAAAATGAAGCTTATCGCAGTTCGTGTGAGGCAAACAGGTGTGCCGTCGTAAATTGGAGTGAGAGGGGGTAGGGTTCACTGGTGATAAGCAAGATTCTGCATACACGCTTGTAAACGGCAAATGAAACAATCTTACCACTGCCTATGAATACTTTACTCATTTACTTAATAACTGTCTAATTTCTATTATAAATCAGCTGCATTCATTGCCAATCTACTTAATGAACTTTACCATACATGGAATATCAGAATTTTAAGTAAAGCTACAAATCAGTAAAACTACCACAAAATACAAACGGAATCCTTCTGCCAGGTTTTGTAATTCGAATATAATGCATATGAAAGAGTTTTGGGGAGACAGCTTATTCAGTTTCGAGATGTAGATGCTACAAACACGAATGGAGAACCAAAGAGGGGCACTGAGGAAATCAAGTACCACCTCATAGTTCGGTTTAACCGCAGCTTACAGTGAAACCCCCGATTGGGAGGACTAAGAAATTGGGCTGAACAAAACACACTTGAAGGTCAAAATCGACCTTCGCCAATGTTTTATGTCAGCGAGATATTGGCAAATTGTGTATCTATTGAAGAGATATACTGATGGTGTCATTTAGCCTAACTACGAAACGTCTGCGAACAACAAATCCAGTTCGGAGAACATACCAACACCAACGGTAGGAAGCAATTTTTAACCAACGGTGGAAAAGTAAACACGAAACATTGATCCTGATGCAAAAACAATCTTATGCTAGAATCAAGCTCGCCTCAGAGTCGAACGAAACGTACTAGAGTGGGAAAGAACACGACAGGAGGTAGATGGCTCACTACCATACACGACCCTTTGAAGCCTTATGCGGTCTGCCACTACAAATCACAGGATCATGGTTCCCGGTTTCCTTTCTTTACAATATGAACATAACAAAACAAAAATCAATCACACTTTTGCTTTTTCGCTAGCTCTACTCATACGCAAAGCAAACATGTACTCAGTACCCTCACTAACATTCGCCGACTAAATCGAAACATTAATTGTGTATGCCAATTTCTCCATACTTCTTCTACTCTCCCCCTCGTCAGATACCACCGAACTTCAAGTCCTCAACTACACTTGCCACCCTTCCTTTCTACCCAAAGCTGGTGCATGCTCGTTTACCAACAATCTGTCGCCGCCTCCAGAATACCAATTCCTGACTTTTGCAAATGTGAATTTAAACTGACAAGTCTAAAAGCTTCAAGCTCCTTCTTTCTACCATTACTTTTTTGTCCTGTGGTTCCCTAAATAGCGGTGACTCCTTCATCCGTGAACGCTTTTATCTTCGAAAACGGAATATCTGTTTGTTGCGGACACCAGCTACCATATTACCACACTGGGAGATTTCAACACTCATAATCAGGAATAGTTGACAAATTCTTGTGCCTTTGGGGAGCGAAACCGAATATTTCACTTTGGACAACAACCTGAGCCGGATAGTTGACCTCCCCACACGTGTCCCTGATCAAGCTGGAGACCACGTGCATACTTATGATCTAATTTTCACCTCCGTCCCTTCTTTCCTCCCTGAAATTTGTACTCGCCCACAATTTGAACAACTAGATCGTTTTATGCTCTACCTAGTTTGCTAGCCCCGATCCGCCACCCACCTTGAAATAGAACTCAGCTAGCTGGGACGGTTTTCATGATTACGTAGTTTCTTATCATTGGAATGATTGTCGTTTAACTTCGAATGTTGCGAAATCTGTTTCTAACTTCATTGATATTTTTCTTTAAGGTATGCACCGTTTTATTTCATACTTCTCCAAACCCGGCAAACCCAAATCCCCCGAATGGTTTAAATACTCATGTGATCGTGCCGTACACCTAAAACGCCGCTGGTGCCACTCACCCACAGCCGCCTCCCAGATGACTCCGTACAAACTAGGAACAGACGCTTGACAAACAGAGAACCGAAGAACGCTTCGTCAGCTGTAAAGCCGAAAACTTGGTCTTGTCCGCCAACAGCAGCTGAACATTTTGGTCCCTTGCCAAAGATATTTTCGTAATTTCTGCCCCCCCCCCAACTTCCCCTTATAAGCGATTATTCAAGTGATCATGTATCTCAACAAGACGAGAAATCTGAGGGTTTTGCCTCCGGTTGGCAACCCTTTTCACCTAATTCTACTCCTGTATCTTCTTGTTATGTCACAGATAACCCTTTCCTTCCTGATTTCAGTATTAGGAATATCAACCAAACATTGACAGCTGTTTTATAAGTCATCTTTTCAGTCCTCTCCAACTTTGTACTTTTCCGACCTGTTGGAAACACGCCGTGACTTTTACCATTCATAAACGTGGTTAACTTTCTGACCCCAACAGCTGCCGACACATTTCCCTCACATCTGTTCTTTCGAAAGCATTTGGAATCATCATCTCCGACTGACTACACACGTTCCACGAACGTGAAGGAATACTGGGCGACTGCCAGTATGGCTTTCGGCAAAGTCGTTCCACCGGTGACCTACTGGCTCCCGTCTTACAATCCTGGTCGGCTGCACTCGATAAGCATGGAGAAACACAGTTGTTCACGCTTACTAGCTCAAAAGTCTTCAATCGAGTTTCGCACCAAGGTCCGTTGGCGAAACTGACAATGTTCGGTTTTTCTCCAGCTTCTGTATCGTAAATATCAAGGTTCTTCAGTAAGGGAAACATCGCCGTCCGAGTTGGTAAGGTTCCATCTCAGCCGTTCCCTGTTAATACTGGTGTTCCCCAAGGTTCGATACTAGCAACTACTCCCTTTCTTCTATTTATCAATGATCTTTCAAAAACTCTCCAGCTAATCTATTCTTTTGCCGATGGCGCCACCATCCACTACTCCCTCCTCTACCGCATTATTCGCCATGCCCAAACCAACATCGATCGTAAACCTAGCGCAGTTAGTGTGTTACCGGACTTTGATTTGAAACACATCTCCTCCCGAGGCAACGACAATTATGTTCCATCCAATGCTTCCAAAAACTGTTTTTTTTTAAAATTTATCTGAAACAACATTTGTTCTAGCCCATCCATCTTTGGACTCCACCCAAATGAGTTCCACGAGCTCTTTTTTTCTTGGGTTACCTATAATTTCCTCTTTGGTTTGATCCGCTTTTACATCTCAGCTTGCTTTTCGTGTTGCGCGTAAGGTGATGTTTTCATTCCGCTTTATACGTTCCTTCACTCCGGTTCATCTTCTTCTACTGTACAAAGCGCAAATCTGGCCTGCTCTTGAATACTGCAGTCACTTGTGAGGTACGGTTTCGTTTCATTCACTTTCCCTTCTTGATCGTGCTCGATGGAAGGTCATCTGGTTGATCGACCATCTTCCTCTAACCTCCATCCTATAGTCACTAGCCTATCGTCGGGCAGTTGCTTCATTGCCTTTTCAACGTTACTACTTTGTTTTTTATTCTTCGGAGCAGCAGTTTCTCTTCCTGCAACTCCCCACACACACACACTGTATCCCGTACACAGACATCTCGTCAACCTCATTAGAATTTAGCCATTATATGTGGCACATCTTTACTCCAATGTTCTTTTACCAACCAATTGCCAAGTTGTGGAACACCTTTCTACTCTCTGTCTTTCTTTAACTTACAACCCTTCACCCTTTAAAAGTAGAATCGACAAGGTGGATTTCACGTGAATATTCCTCTATTTTCCCTTTTACAGTATCCTTTTTAACTATGGGGATTTCCCCTTTAAAGGCACTACATTGTGTGTTATAAGAAAGAAGACGGACCCCGAGTTTCATTCGATCGTTTTCGCAGTAGATTAGTAACATTGGAACCTCAATATCGAAAGAGATTGGATAATATATATCATATATGTAATAATAATATATATCATAGCGCTTTTTGTGCGAAGCAAAAGACCATCAAAATGGGTGAAATAACCAGCAATCACATAACTGTGTAAATACTGACTAATAGTCTCGAACCAAGAGAGATTATGAGAGATACGCTGAAGTGTAATCTTACTTACGGCCGTTATTATTTATTTTTTGAGGTTCTACACCCTCAAATCCAAATGTGGATTCATTTTGTATCTAAATACCCTCCCTGAAAATTTCAGGTAAACAGCTTACCTGTTGCCCTAGCTGCAAATTTTGTGACTCCAACTGTTCGGGAACTCGCTTTGACCTTTGTAGCAGCTGCACTGACCAACTTCTTGGCTATTCGATTCTTGATTGAAGATCCACCTGTGGATGACCTCATGGATGAGCCGATTTTCACTGGTCGCCTTGGCTGCGATCGCTTGTGACACACGGGATTGGACATAATTTGCCTGTTAACGGCATTGTCCATCTTCTGAGTGGATGCGACAGTACTGAAAGAGAATAAATTGGACTGATCAAAGTGTATGTAATGTGATAGCGTGCCGAATCGCATCAAACGGTTCACCTTGTTCTCTTGGGCACTGAAAATTTTAACAGTTGTTACTTAGTCTGCTAAGTGCGGAACAGAGACAGATTGGGATGAGAATATCTCTAGACCGCATAGGATCAGCTTTAAACTGGTATTAGCGGCCAACAGTGGGGTTTTGCTAGCAATCGAGCATCAAGCGATAGTTTGAAAGAAAAACATGAATGAATGATGGGATCCCGGTACCCAATGCACTATACCCAACGATTATATTTGAGCTCAACCGGTTATGGACAACTTACACATTGACCCCATAGTTTAAGGGTCAATCGAAACTCAATCGCCTAGCTCATGAATATGCACGCAAGAAGGAATACCTCAGAAGGAATAAAATGGGTCTGTTTCTGGGACGGAAGAAGCAAACCAATGCGAAGTAACGCCCTTCTAAGAGGTAATCACATGAACCCCGTTGTGGAGCGCACAAATAATGAACTCCACACGGCTGCACTCCACTGTATAGCATTGATGACAAGTGGGATAATATTTTTGAAGTTGGTCTTTGACATCATGTACAATCCCATCAACCACATCGATCCAGGTCACTGATGATTAACGGGTTTTTATGATACTTTTCGACGACTGGTGGGATGAAAGTTATCACAGCAAATTTGACTTTTATATATGCAATCACAGGGCGGAATCATAATACCCAAATGAGGCAATAGAGTGAATCCACCAAGCCGGTAACAGAGCATAGTTGTCACGACCATTATGAACTAAAAATAAAATTTGACCTACGGGAGTCGCTTATTCCGTTGCGTGCTGGTTGCTGCTGCTGCGCCGCGGCGCGATGCATTCATGATGAGCACAGGAAAGCGCGAAGTTCCGCGAAGGGAAGCGGTCTGGCTTGCCACTTTACGTTTAGGAGATCGGTTTTTCAGTCTAACAGCCGAGATGTTAGAATCGACCGAATCGGTTAAAGTCGTTTGTTTTGAGCCAGGGCCTTCTGGAAATCCATCGGATTGTGCAGTATGCCGACTGGTACCAGGTACTGATTCAGACTTTGAACGTGAACACCACCAGAAAAATGACAAAGCTTCAGCAATAACATCAAGGTTAGGGGTTATGGATCAACACCATAAAAAGTGAATTCAACAGGAAGAAAAGCAAACTAAAAATTAAAGTGGTAGCCCGTCGAAACTCTCTCTCTGTACGACTTGTATCGATCAATCATTAAGTGAGCCCTTCCCCTTCTGGAGTGTTCAACACTTGTTTCAACCTTACATGATACTACGATTACTCAAGACAAAATTGAGACTATCCTCTCGTCTAAGATAAAATAGGCAAAATACACTTGATTACACTGGTCAATCCTAACAGTTGACGGAACATGAACTCGCAGCATCGCTGTCTTTGGTCATGGTACTGAACTCTTGAGGTCCAACAATTCACATTTGACTATGAACTGCACCGCACCAGAGGAACATTTCAAGTTCAATGAAATTGCGATGGACATGTTTACGATAACCGACAAAGAGCATTGGGCAGTTGTTTCTTCCTGTTTGGGACTCGTCAAGAGTGTCTAGAGCCTCAGAGCAATCGAATGGATTAATCCAAGCATGATACTCTATGGTTCAAGTTCAAGTTTGAACACAATTGTTGTGTACGGAAAAAAGCATGAGATCGGTTGTCGGGTAACCGAGAATATCATGCAGATTGCTATCGGCAGCGTCAAATTACCAGCGAGTCGCAGAAATAGAACCGAGTTGCCACCGAGCAATTTAACAGATTGGTCGAGTTGTTCAAAATAAAATACGGCACAAACCCGAAATAAATAGAATTTAAATCGAACACCAGATTGATGATAGAATAAGCAGAGATAAAGAAGCAGTTTCGATCACACGTTATCAATTTACCAATAAGACACCAACTGTATTGCTGAATATATTTTA